ATATATATATATATATATATATGCAAAGTTTCAGACAGTGTACAACCTGTTCTTCTATAATAATTTCAAACCGGTTTTCATGCAACGTGTACGTTTCACATATACAGTGGAGACTCAGTTTCACGTTTTTCCGAAGATTAATCAACACAAACAACGAAATCGCAAAGATCCGTCGACCTATCTAGTGTATGAATAGTATAAATGTGTACGTACATTAGTTATTGCATAAAAACTTTAATTACTCAAACAGCTGAATCCATATTGCTTAATTCTATATCTCAAAAGCAGAAAAAATGCCAATCTAAATTGATGTCATGTTGACGTTGTCATTTTTTCTGCTTTTTAACGTAATACTTAAAATATTTTCTTACATGTGCCTTTTAACTTGTATTATTTATTACGGAAAAAAAATGATACAAACGCGCAATTTAATATATATAATACTCAATAACAATAATATAATATAAATAATACAAATTTAATAAAAATAATATATTTAATAAAAGTATTAGTTATCACGAACGATATTATTTCATTATAAATTTCCATTTTGAGTTTAAACTCTATTATTGTATGATAAAGATTTTTTTCGTATTGCTACTTCTGCAAATGGAATAGGATTTTAATTTAAACAATTCTTTTGGTTTTATTTTTTTTTAGGTACTATTCGAAAAAAAATTGTGAGAATTAAAGTATTATTAAGATAAAGTATTACTCATATGATCAAACCGACTTCGCTTTTCAATATCGTCAACAATTTTTCATTCTTCTTCTGCTTTTTCCTACTTATAGAATTCTTTTCATAAGATCACAAAAGCCATGGAATTTTCCTCTTTTCTTTTGCTGTAACACGAGAAACCTGACAAATGTTTCTGACCATCCACAACCGTTTCGACAAACCAAAAAACTTACGAGTTTTTGGAATTTTAATTTTACATTTATATATATATTTTTTTTAATGTAATTTAATTTAGTTAAAAAAAATTAAAAAGTATTAATATAAATCCATTATCTTTCGTCAAATTCTTCTATATTTAATACAATTTTTTATTCTTATTTTGCCGATTATTGCTCATTCATTTCATAGAAATCTTTTCGAGATCAAAATTAATAGAATTTTTTTTTCCTCCGGTTAGTTATAACGCGCAAAAAAATCTGATAAATGTTTCTGACTACCTGCAATCATTTCGAAAAGTCAAAAAATTTGCCAAAAATTTTGAATACTTATAAGAAAAAAATGCTAAAGTATTGCCGAGATGAAAATCTATCCTATCTTTCAACATCATCAATAGTTTTTCATTTTTATTCTGCTAATTATTGCTCACTCATTTCATAGGAATGTTTTTGGCATCAAAGTTGATTGAGAATTTTTCTCTTTTTTTTTTTCCGTCTTGCTATAACGCGAGAAACCATCTGACAAATGCTCCTGACGACGCGCGACTGTCTTGAGAAACGAAGAAACTTCGAGCATCGTTACTATCGGCACTCAACCATGACAGCGCCGTCACATAAGAAGAAAGCGTGATCGAAGATATACCCCTCTTCCCTGCAAAGAACTTGACGGTGTTCTCGGCAGAATCATCGGAACGTAAGCTTACGGGATATCGATTAGTTTGGCTTTACGCACTCGGAG